CCCTGAAGATGACAATTAGTTTGAGGGCAGAGGACAGGTCAGAGCGGTTAACCAGGAGGAAGAGGAGGGAAAGGGACAGGGCAGAGCACTCTCTGCTCTGGTCCCAACCTGGGTCTACAAGACAAACTCTATGGCTGACCTCACTTATGCTCCTCCATTAGGCAAAGGTTCCTAACACAATCCCTTACACAATGTACCATCACGGTGCCACATGAGCCTGAGCTCAGCCCAAGTCACCAAGCTCGGGCATTGATTAATGAACCCACAACTGTTCAGCACCACCAGGGGTGAGGAATTTTATACCAGATTACCAAGGCCTATGTGTAGCCTATTAGAGCACTGCAGTGATTCAAAAAATAATTTCTTTGGAAATGAAGGATACGTCTATAAGGAAAGAAAAATCTAGAAGTCAAGCAGACTCCTAAGATAAACAATCAAAGCAAACTACAAGCTGATGGTCTCCTTCTAAAGACTTAACTCACAAATCACGCTGTGAATTTTCAATTAGGACTCTAGCAGTTCAGCGGGAAGCCCCTGGGTAATCTTTGCTAAGGCCACAGTTGAAAAGCCTGTTTCAGCATGCTGAAGGCAGTTATTCCAGGCTTTCACAGTCTAGAATGCCACTTCACCCACTCGGCAATCAGATGCATAATTTTCAGATACAAATGTGCCACTCGGTGTTTTGATGACTGGCCAATTTCCTAGTCAGACAATAAGTAAATCTGCCTTGTTGTTGCTGTTTTACATATTTAATGCAAGACCAGTATGTATTTCCTTGTTTTAGTCAAATAAAATCTATATTGTGACTATTATGGGATCAACTGGGTTAATATTTATTATGTAACGACACATTCTCCAGTTCAAAAATCACTGAATCTGTAGTCAGAGAGGCCAGGCCATGACCCTCCAACCTGAGGCAAATTCCTTTCCCTCTTTGAACATGGCTGTCTTATCCAACAACATGAGGGTGTTAGTCTAGAACACAGGTTGCCAAAACCAAGAATTCTACCTGGGAATCCACCAGCAAACTGTGTTAAAAAAAAAAAAAAAAAAATCCCTAGCCAAGACAGGAATCTGAGATTCCTCTAGTGCTAACTCCCCATGACTTTCTGAAATAAGGCTGAGCAGATGAAAATAGAACTACTTCCCTATGAAGGATTAATTTCTGAATTTCAATTCCCTTCAGGAGCAAAAGCAAAAAGCGAGGGTTGCTCAACACTTCCTAAGAAGGTTGCTTAATGGTGGAAACAGCACACATATACTGCACAAGTAGCCAAGGGCTACCACTATACAGAATATAGGTGAAAGGTACAAATACCAGCCAGGACAGAATATCAAGGAAGAGTGTGCATCTTCATTTCTGAGACCCCCGAAGATTGCTGAATGGCAATTTCACATAATTACAGCTGGGCTTTAAGAAACTTAATCCTGCAAAACCACGTAGGATGAACAAGAACAGGAAGGCTGGCAGAGAAGACAGTAGTTAGGTAAAGCTTGTAGGCAAACATGGGCAGAGAAGCCATGTGGCCAAGCCCTGTGTTCATATAAAAAACATGATCTCCAAGTGAGGCTGCACAGTTAGTCACAGGCCCACAGCGACAGGACTGAAAGATGCTCACCATTCAGCTGTAGACTCAGGTTCCACAAGGAATGTGATACCAAAAAATGAATAACGTTTTAATATATTTTGTAATTACTTGTAAATAGTATGGACGTATAGCAGTAATTTTGTGTGTATTAAAAGCATTGATTTCTTAAATTATATAAGCAGACTGAATTTCCATAATCCTGTTTTGAAATTCTGTCTTTTTGTTAATATACAGGGATCCTTAAAAATGGAAATGGCTCAAGACTCTCTCAGCTGCCGAGTTTATTTCAGGTGCCCAGTTAAGTGGTAACAAGAGCCTAATGTAGGATGGTGGTCAGGGAAAGAGAAGAAAAAGATGAACTGCAGCAATTTAACGTGGGTGGCCTAGAGAGGACCGATGGTCAAGAATGATTCTGCAGATTCCAGGCTAGGTCATTAGGAGGATGCTGGTGCTGTTAATAATAGAGGAGGAAGTCAGAGGGGAAGTGGCATGCACGAGAAGAGGACGTGTTTCACTCTGGGTATGAAAGGCCCTCTCCATTCTTTTTATCTACTTCCCTTTAAGCAGCCAAAATAACACCAGTGGCAACACCCTTGCTCTTGAAGAGGAGTGAAGGACAGTAAAGAGCCTCTGTCCATGCTCTGTTTTAGATTGTGGAAATGCAAACCATCAGAAAAGCACCTTTGCAATTCTTAGAAAACTCACAATTCCTTTAGAGAACAGAGTTGTTCACCGTAGACTTCCTTGAAAACTTCCCACTGAGGTTAGCTCATAGCAGGTATGACATACACATCACTGATCCCCCACAGGGAGGGCCTCTTCAAAATAGGGAAAGCACACGAGGACCAAATGCTATGAAGAGATCTAGCTTAGAGTGAGTACTTTCAGTCTATATGCCTCCATTCTAAAGACCTAGGCTCTCCACTCTCCCAACCCCCAGCCCTCCTGCCAAAAATAAAATAAAGTATATTTCATATATCCCACAGAGGTTAAAAAAAAAGTACGTAAGAAGTCAAGGGCAGACCCAGGTCTAGCACAAGGTCCCCTAAGTCTCCTTTCTATTATGTGGGAGAATATCAAGATTTATGCTCACTTTCTTCATATTCCAGGGCACTACACCTTCACCTCCAACAGTGTGATACACACAGGTAGGGCATGTGACCCTGAGTGTTTTAACCACTGTATGGAGAGAGAAGCCTGAAGGTGGATATAGGAGGAGAGCTCTCAGCATGTTTTATTGAGATTCTGAGCATCATCTAACAGTGATTTACACTCCTAATTAAACAACTATAATTTTAAGAAAAATAATATAAAACATTTTTCTTTCTATAATGTCTGAAATAAGTATACAGAGGTTATTCTTTCCGGGGAAAAAAAAAGGAAGGAAACCAAGATCACATGATCACTCTGGCATAAAATATATGTTTTGAGTGTTTTGAAAGCAGGAAAAACTAAAAGCTCTCACTGTAACTCACCACTCATTTTATAATGTATTTATTTTTTAAAAGGAAGCTTAATGGCATATATCTGTAAACCATAAAAATCTCAAGAGTTAGAAATCAAATTTCAAAAAAAGTGGTTGTCATGGCCACCTAAACATTATTAAAATCCTTATTATAACTAGAACACATGGAAGAAAAAGGTTAAATCAGATTAGACTAAGAAAAAACAAAGCGGAAAATAATATAATGTTCACATTAACACAGAGGGTTTTTAAGTTTGCTTTGAGTAACAATTTAGGCAGGAATTGAGGCAAAGGTGGCTCTTCTGCCCATATAAGAATAAATAGTTAGCTAACTACCTTAATCTAAACCTTAATTTCTCCAAGAAAAGTTTCCAGAAACAAAAAATGTTAGAGAATAAGCTACATTTTACTTGAACCAGGGAGGCGGAAGTTGCAGTGAGCCAAGATTGCATTATTGCACTCCAGCCTGGGCAATGAGACCAAAAATCCATCTCAAAAAATTAAATAAATAAATATAAGCTACATCTGAAGAGATAATTTAATAAAAATCAGATCCTTCTTCTAATTCCTGCTTAATAATTTCAGTTTGTCTAGAAATTCCTTTATCTGCACTAGAAACTATAATTTTGCTTGAGTTATAAAATGAGACACAGAAAAATTGTGTGTGTATATATATATATATATATATAATATATATGTACATATATATGTACATATATACTTTTTAAGCCAAAGCTCCAAGAACTTTCATATATTCCGAGTGATAGTAATTATCAGGACACGTGCACATAAAAATCAACTTAGCAATATATATCAAAATCACAAATGCATACATCCTCTGATCCAAAAATTTTATTTCTGGACATGTATCTTATAAATAAACTTCCACACACAAAAGCTTATTTACAGCAGCAATATTTATCAACAGAAGACTGAAAATAGCACAAATATTCATCAATAGGACACTTGGTATTAGCGGGCACAGTGGCTTATGCCTATAATCCCAACACTTTGGGAAGCCGAGGCAGGTGGATCACCTGAGGTCAGAAGTTTGAGACCAGCCTGGCCAATATGGTGAAACCCTGTCTCTACTAAAATTACAACAATTAGCCGGGTGTGGTGGCAGGCACCTGTAATCCCAGCTACTTGGAAGCCTGAGGCAGGGAGAATTGCTTGAACTTGGGAGGCGGAGGTTGCAGTGAGCTGAGATTATGCCATTGCACTCCAGCCTGGGTGACAGAGAGAGACTCTGTCTCAAAAAAATAAATAAATAAATAATAGGACACTTGTTAAATAAATCATGATACAGCCATATAGTGAAATACCATCGCCTGTGGAAGATGGACTTTATGTATTGTATGGAAAGATCTCTAAGGCATTAAGTAAAAAATTCAATGACCAAAATAGTGCCATATTTCGCATTAAAATGGAAGCAAGGGGAAAATAAGAATCTGTGTTTGTATTTGTTTCTAATGCGATTTTTGGAAATAAAAAGATCTTAAAATGAAGTTATTTTAGAAAGATACACAAAAAAGTAGGAAGTAGGGAGTGAGACAGAAGAGAGGCATTTCACTTTATGTCTTCTAATTCTCTGATTTTTAGATTACGTGAATTTTTAAAAAATAAATAATTTTCAAATTGCGAAAGCCATCTATTTAATGCTCAAAACATTTCATTAAATAAGACGCTTCCTTAAAAAAAGCTGCAGAGATTTTATCACATCCTCAAATGATTCTGACCTTTGAACAAAACTTGAAATTAGATGACTCTTGCCCTTACTTCTTTAAAAGAAAATGTATTTTTCTATGCCTTGCAAAACTGTAACACATTTAGTGCTTTCGTCTAAAAATAATCCCATTTCAGTGTTTTCAAGTTAAATCTGAACTTGGTTACTAACACAAAAACTGGCCAAATTCTGGTTTTTACTTTTAAGAGCTTTCCCATACCTTTGTCAGAATGGTTCTTCCTCCCATGAGGAATTCGGTTAAGGCACAGAATATACCCATCTTCTGTCTCAACTAGGTATTCCTCACTAGGGAATCCCCAGTAAGAGATAATTTCACTCTGTAGAGAAAAAGGACAATGGAAATTGGGTGAATAGAATCTGAAACAGTCCCCCACATTAACAAGCAAAGGAGCAGATAAACTGTTCTCCAGGCTTTAAGAAAGCATTTGTCATTGAAAGTTTAGTCAGCTAAATATAGCAGCCAACCTCCCATCAGAAGTGTAAATCCCTTGTTTCATGCTTGTGTTCTACCTACAGGTGTTTGGTCACACTTCAGTTTCATCATTCTAGCATGTTTTATACCAGATGTACCTAACTTTACCACAGCTTGGGCCTCTTTGCTTCCATCCTGCCTACCAGGCACAAATAAACACTCATTTCTTTCTTTTCTAAATATGCCAGCTAGAACTGTGAAAGTATAAAACACTTTCTTTGTTTTGAGAGATCCCCTGCTGGCCAATAAAGCATAAAAAATGTAACCTGTTTTTATCAATGGACTAAAAAAATTATACTAGAATGTTAAGGTGGGACGGAAGAAAACCTGAACAAAATAGAGGATTATGGTCACCTTCACCTCTCTATAAGGAACGATTCATGGAACAATTGTTAATCAAGAGCTCAGTGGGATATGGATAACTCAATTATCCAGAGGATTTAATGTAGATAACTGCACATACCCGCTCTAAGATAAATACTCGAAATAATTTAATTTTATCATTCTTATAAAAAAATTATTTTAAACGTTGGAAAAGTTAGGAGGTAAAAAGAAAAGCTTTGGGCTAAGAAGTAAAACTTAACTTTAAGACCCTGTTATCAGGTCATGCTCTCCTGGCTCACTCTGAATTTCTCTCCAAGTCCCTAAGCTTGCCTGATTCTTCAGCTGGGTCGCTGCAACATCTATTTTAAAGCTGCTGTTTTCATTAATAATTTGTACTTTTCTGATATTTTGTGCCTAAATGACATACTTCCAGATTTTATTGTTTACTTATGATTAATAACTTGCAGGTGTTTTAATAGTCAAGTGGTTATTTTTGCATATTCTAATAAAATTTTGTTCAGATACTTTGACTTCTGTATATAAATATGTTCCCTGGATATTCTTAATCACAATCTTTGTTCAATGTACTCTAAAACAAGCACTCAGTAGCAGTAATGTTCTTGCGCAGTTGAAATACACTTTTATTTTTTAAACAAATCTAGTAAGACTTAAAAATGAAATTAATAAACATCATAATTTATCTTATTAAGAAGTATATATAACAGTAAACTGAGGTTTGTTAACTACATAATAGCTGGTGAGAAAAGTCTAGCAAACTGAATCTAAGATTCAGAGAAATTGGACAGGGTATGGTGGCTCACACCTGTAATCCCAGCACTTTGCAAGGCCAAGACAGGCAGATCACCTGAGCTCAGGAGTTCGAGACCACCCTGGGCAACATGGTGAAACCACATCTCTACTAAAATACAAAAAAAAAAAAAATTAGCTAGGCATGGTGGCTCA